TAGTGGTAATATTGATTCTGCTACAGTTAATTCTAAGATCTAATCTAAATATTTATTATTAATCATAACCAGTTATAATTAGTCATAAATATTTCCCTTTTGAGCTGATTTACTACAAGAGAAAGGAAAAACTGAAATCGCATCATATGACCCCTTTAAATGATTATAAAGGAAGGGCTATTTGCCTAGGCTAAATATAATCCGTTCAGATTTTGAATAAAAGTTTTGTTTTTCGTGCTCCTACGGCCAACAACGTTTCGGGAGTGACATATAAATCCCTCATGCTTCACATAAATGCGGGATTCATTTTCGAATGGGAGAAAAAATATAATTTATCAAAATAGATGTTCATTAAGCACTGTAAATGCAGACTAATAGAACATTTTGAATTTTCATGTCAATATATTTTTTAAATGCGGTTGCAATCATTTATAAACATAATGATTAGTAAATCTTGCAAATCTCTCACTGTACATTGCTATTCTTGTTGTAAAAAAAAAGTTAATAGTTTTGCAGCACTGCAACAGCTATTTTACATAGTTTTATGATAGAAACACGGTTACCATCATGACATTCACGACAATGGGAATTATCAGTCCAAGTTGAACTCAAAAGTTGGCAGCCCTGGCAATGTATGTAACATACAAGATATGTTATGCTTGCTCTCATTTATTACAAAAGCTTCACATATATGCCAGTAAGATGACAATTTTGTGCTTTTTTGTCATCTGAACAGAAAATTGTGAGACGAGATAATGAGTAGGCCTACTGATTAAACAAAGCCAAATGCCTAAAGAAATACATTTGATGTGATCACATGTTTAGAACAAACTGGCCACCATAATGTAACACAGGCTGTGTTTCAAAACCTATAGCTCCCTACCTAGGCAGTACTGTATTTTGGGGCATCACAGTCGTTAGCGTATGTATATGCATGTATGTGCGTGCTTATATATAACAAATCGTAATTAACACAGCCATGAAATAATAAAATAAACATTTTAAAAAGAAACCTTTATGCTGATAGATATTAGCTACTACAGAAAGCTTCACTGTCCATTCAATTAATCAAAGAAATGTTTTACAACAGCTATGGATAAAGACACTTACCTCAACATAATTACTGTATCCATGTGGTATGGAAACAAGCAAATGAATAAATGCAAATATTCTCATTAAATTGTAATAATCCATTTTGTTTGGTCATCGGTTTAGTGACAGGCTAGCTTTGCAACAGCAACCAGGAAGCGTTATACTTCCGGTTTGATTAAAAGTCCCATTTTCCGAAATAAAAGTCATCTCTCTGCTTAGATATTTAGATGTAGCAAAGAAAACGGAGGACATGAGTATATGATGATGCATTGCATTTTTATCAATAACTTTTCTCAGATCCCATAAATCTAAGCAACAACTGTGGTCCCGTTTACTGTATAAAGCAGAATTATTATCAACGTTTAACAGGGAACAACGCTTAAGCAAAAATGAAGCATTGAATAATGTTTATCATACTTATTTTTCATTTTCAAAATTGTTCTGTATTTATACTATTCCCACAAATTAATCAGATGAATTTCATGAGTATTCCAACAAGTCTTATGCAGATTAATCTGAAACTGGCTGTTTGTTTATATTTAAGACTTATTTTGTCAGTCACTTCAGACAGCAGCAGCTCATCTCGCCTCACATGATAGATGTTTGAGAATCGAAAGCATTTCCACCTTACAGACGTTGTCTGATTTACACAATAATGCATTTCTAGGATCTGATTATCAGCAGGCACCAACAAAGGATTAAGTGAGATTGTAGGACAGATGGAAGGCTAAAAATATCAAAATCCAGCATGGAACATTTGGTGCCTTTGTGACACTTACTGTGAAAATTATGTCAGAGGTTACTCCACACTAGTAATATAGGCCAGTGTAGGGTTTTTTTAGTCTCATTGATGATTATGATGATGATAAATATTAAACACATCAATTATATTCATTAAATTCATTTTTGCCATCTGCAGTGAGCATGTTATGCCGTTGCTTTAAATGTCATTGTATTTAGGACAATGATTCTTTCTTTTTTCAGTTCTATTAAGTTATTCATTCATAAATGTACTTGATTTACTTGAAAATTACTTGATAAGTAGATACTAGATTTAAGAGATTAAAGATTTTAATACAAAAAGTATCATTAAAAGGCTGCAATTGCATTAGTAGTTTTTTATTGTTATTAATTCATAACACGCAGATGGGGGAAGTCGTGGCCTAATGGTTAGAGAGTCGGACTCATAACCCAAAGGTTGTGGGTTCGAGTCTCGTACCGGCAGGGATGTGGGGGGAGTGAATGTACAGCGCTCTCTCCCACCTTCAATACCACGACTGAGATGCCCTTGAGCAAGACACCGAACCCCCAACTGCTCCCCGGGCGCTGCAGCATAAATGGCTGCCCACTGCTCCGGGTGTGTGTTCACGGTGTGTGTGTGTTCACTGCTGTGTGTGTGCACTTTGGATGGGTAAATGCAGAGCACTAATTCCTAGTATGGGTCACCATACTTGGCCACATGTCACTTCACTTTCACTTTAGAGAAGAAGTTTATTTTAAAACATTAATATGTGACAACATTTTGTCTGCCAAATCAATACATAGGATGGTGTAACCAACAAGCATGAAGCTATCTTGTCATATGGCAGTAATACCATAAATCAGGAAATTATATCATATAAATAAGAGCATTATTATTGTTGTTGTTGTTAATCATTCATATGTTGTACAATATAATGCATTTGATCATTTTAACATATAATATCTACATTTAAGTTTGATATAATACATAATGTATATTTATACATTAATTATATACTTATAGCTAATTAAAATATTTTAATAAAGTTTTTTAATTAATGTAATATATTTGTATTAATATATACATACATTAATATATGAATAAATATAATGTATATATTAGATAATAATAAGATGCATTTGTTATATTATATATAAAATATGAATGATTCATTATTATATATTACACAGTGCATACCGTAAAATATTAATTATTCAAATATAAATGACTAGTTATTTAAACATATATTCAAAACTACTTATTACTAAAACATTTTTTGAAAGATTAAGATGTGCACACAGACAGCGTACAGGTGTATCGCGCTGTGTTAGCGGTTTCAAACACTGAAGAGAGATACTAAAAGACCAAGACTAGAGGAGAGCTTGGAAGCAGCATGTAACAGGCACAGCAGTTTACTGAGAGCGTAGCTGTCTTCATCCACCTAGTTTAGTAGGCACTTGGAGAATGCGTTAAGATCGCAACAACACCACGGATTCGTGAAGCTGCAACAGAATACATTCTACACTCAACGCAACAGGATCGATAGTTTTCCAAAAACAGATATGAACACCAACGATGCGAAGGAATATCTCTCCAGGAGAGAGATGCCTCAACTGTTTGAGGTGAGCATTTGCGTGTGTGAACTTTTGTTCGGGTGAATCCTACACTCTAAAAAATGCTGGGTTAAATACAACCCAGTGCTGGGTAAAATAGGGACAACCCTAGCAATTGGGTTGACCCAGTGGTTGGGTTACTACCCAGAAGGTTGGGTTAAACATTTAACCCAACCGCTGGGTCAAAACAGCCCAACTGCTGGGTTTGTCCCTATTTTACCCAGCACTGGGTTGTATTTAACCCAGCATTTTCTAGAGTGTAAAGATGTTTCCACATCAGCTGTTACGAATGAAGAATAGCACGAAGAAGTTAGGTTACTTGCATAGAAAGAATTTGATATTAAATGTGATGTCCGACTACTGAGAATCAGTACTGAAAACCAATGTTGGTTCGATATAGGCTTATGAAAAAAAGGTTATGAATATGATTAAAGTTAATTCATAATAAAAAGGTAATGATTCATTTAAAGGTTCGTGTATGTGGGGTACTGCTTGTTGTAAATAATGCAAACTGAGTTGTTGAGTGTTGCATCAGATTAGATTATATGGAAATCATCGAGGGTTATGTTATATATGTGCTTATAGTCGCTAGTGTGTGCGCGTTTTTACTCACAGAGCTGAAAATGTCGATCGTGTCTGAAATGCGAGTCTGCATCGCTGATTGTCCATCGTTGTTTATTATGGTAGTAGGCGTGCTGTCAGAAGCCTACACATGCTTATCAGTCAAGTCTGATAAGAAATAACAGGATATAACAGGCGTATTTAATGATTGTTTTCAGTCACCTATTATTATTTTACTATTGTTAACAATTTAATTTTGGAGCCAGCACCTCTCTTTAAACTGTCAGTGGTGCATTTATGAGCCGACTTGGTTTGTAAAAACCATGGGCACATTATGTGGGTACATTAGGGTATTTACATCAAATATATAGGAAAGTGTATATTTTAGGAGCTGTCACTCTTCACAATTTGTTTTTCACCATTTGAATCACCTTTGCCTTCTCTAGTTCATTTTAAACTGCCCTGCTGTGTAAAAAATGAATGTTTATACGTTTTCAATGTGTAGTCGCTAAAGGGGGTCATAAAATTATCATGCATAACAATTATAAAAGAATGAGCAAAATGCTGTTAAAGCTTAAAAGTAATTTTAAATGGTTTCACACTGCAATATATCAGCTTCCCATTAATAGCTGAATTCATTTATATTCTAATGACTATGTGTGTGTGTGTGTGTGTGTGTGTGTGTGTGTGTGTGTGTATATATATATATAAACATTTTTAATATTAGTTTAGTTTTTAAGATATATTTTGTATCTTTATGTGTATAAAATTGTATAAATAATAACATTTACAAAAAATAAACATTCCTTACAATTAGGCCTGTCATGATAACAACTTTTTGTTGTGCGATATATTGCCCCAGAAATAATTGCGATAAGCGATATTATTGCCATTTTTTAATGTAACAGCATAATAATGCAAGAAGGCCTACACACTTCCAAATGACAACAAACTTTTCATTTTTAAGAATATTTAGATCATGGAAATCAGGTATCAAAATACTAGATACCTTAAAAAACCTGAATAAATAGTAAATAAACATTTTTTAACAAAAAGTGCAAAGTAGCAAGAAGAAAAAAAGAAAAATGCACAAGTAACTTGTATGGAGATTTTTCCATCTACAGATTTTTTTCCTGACCTTCTTTTCTCTGTAAATTAAGGGTGCACACTATTGCTGAAAAACACGATCACTACTTAGCAGTCAGATATCCGTATGCACAAAGGCACAGATCCCTAAACAAGACCATATCTGCAGATTAAACTTTGTAGAAGCATTTTTAAAATGTGAACTAGCACCTCATGACTACATCACGTTATGTACGAGAAGCTGCAAAAGACACAGGCGCAAGTGGAATGTACAAAACATGGTGACATAAATTTTTAAGTAAATATAATGTCATGGACATATATTGCGCGATAAGTCGATATATTGATTATTGCGACAGGCCTACTTACAATGCATGTTACCCTGTTCTTACAGTGAACAGATAAACACAGTACACCTCTCTGATTTGTCACTGGTTTCTCAGAGTCTGCTGACTGGTCTGATGTACTACCGACCGGATGACCCCATAGACTACCTAGAGACCTGCCTTAAGAAGGTGAGGGAGCTCGGCGGGACTGACCAAGTTCGGTGGGACACGTTCGTTGGACAGGAGAAGAAGTCGTTACCGCCTCTCAATGGTGGGCAGTCACGTCGATCTTTTTTCCGCAATGGTGAGTAGGAGGTGTTGTCATCAGCCAATGCAACTCCAAATTGTAGGTGATGCTGAAATTCATGCAAACAAACTAGAACTGGCCACTGCTGTGTTTTGTGTATTGCACAGCAGGCTCATTATTCATTATTTGGGTGTTGTTAGAACATGGCAACCATTGGTAGGGCTTTTTCTTTCTTTGTGCTGGGCAACATTGTTCTACCCACCTCTCGAGGTAATACAAAAAGGCAAATGAATGCAAAGTACCTTTACAGTAAATCATAGTGAGTTTGTCATCTAATCAAAACCTGTTTTTCCAATGATATACTATCATGGGATTTCCTGTGAACCTTTTGCAATATATTGTTGAGGATATCAGAAGCTCTTATGACTAACTATTTGCATTCTTCCATACAGTTCTCCCGGACAGTCCCAATTTCCCCTATCGGAGATATGAGCGCCTCCCACCCATCAACCAGTTTTCCATAGAGAGTGACTCAGACTTGTCTGAGACAGCTGAGCTCATAGAGGAATATGAAGTGTTTGACCCATCTAGACCCA